GATACATCTTTGGAAAACATGTGACTATTCATGAAGAGTCAAAAGTTACAACTCTTCATTTGAGTAGACATATATTTCTACCAAAATGCTCCACTTCTAATTTCCATTCAATTAAAAAATTTATATAATAATGTTATTATTAAATTTTCCAACAATCCCCCACATGAATGGAAATTGACTCAATACCATGCAAATGACAATATAGACACTAAAGAGAGAATTCATTAGGAAAAGTACCGCATCGGGATATGTGCCTTTTGGCCTTGAACCTTTCATAGTGAATTACTATCAGATTTACTTGGCTAATCAGTGAACACGATGTCTTGAACTGCTTAGCCGTTTATGTAAACCAAGACAATAGTAATCACTCAATACCTTTCCAGACACCCCGTGTTAATGTGGGAGTGGCTTTTATCAGTAGTTGAGACTCAAAAAACTAAGTATGATTTGGTTTGCTTGGTTCTTTGGGGTTTATGGCAGGCTCGTAACTCCTTAGTCTGGGATAGGCAATGTGGACAACCCATGGAGGTTGTGCAGAAGGTAGTGTGCTGGTATCAGGCGTTTTTAGCAGCCCATGTTTTGCCGAAGGTCTCCAAACTGGTTCCTCACCTCAAATGGATGACCCCCACTGATGGTTGGGTTAAAATCAATGTTGATGGGGCCCACATGGCTGGAGTTGTGTTCGGGAGGAGTGGGTGTGGTGTTGAGGGATGGGATGGGGCAGTTTATAGTAGCAGAAGCTTAGAGGAAAGAGGGTATTGGGCCGGCTTTTCAAGTGGAATTTGAGGCGACTCGGTCGGCAGAGAGGCTGCAGATTAAACGGGTTATTGTGGAAAGTGACTCCGCGCCCGCTATAGCTGCTATCAATAACTACTCTCAGGATTTGTCCGTGTTTGGTTTGCTAGCGGAGGATGTCAGGTTTGTGGCGGAGTTGATTTCCCTGATCCAATTTGTGCATGTGCCAAGAACATGTAATAGGGTTGCCCATAGATTAGCTAAGTTTGCCATTTCAATTGGTAATGAATTTGTATGGTTAGAGGACCCTCTTGATATCATTCAGGACCTCTTCAACCAGGATCTTATGTAGTACGTTGGTTTTCATTAATATATCGTGTTTCCTTCAAAAAAAAAAAAAAAAAAAAAAAAAAAGGGTTTAGGTTAAATTGATAAGGGATGAAGTACAAAACACGATGATAATTTATTGGCACTCTAAACATCTAACTGTACACTCCAAATTTTTTTTATATTTAAAAAGAAAAATACTCTTATGAAGAGTGCACAATTAAATTTTTTTAACACAATTAGATTTTCGAAATACCATTAAGTTCCCTTCATGATTATTGCAAATGCATTTGTAAAGGGTTTAATTATTGCAAACACATTTCACATGACTATCAACCTTTGTATAATGCTTCTAAAAATCATTTCTCATCCCCTCTATTTAAATTTTGTCGTCCACTCTTAACTAGTTCGGTCCCAATATTTTACAAATAGAAAATTTCTCACCCAAACATTGCCTTACTATGTTAAAAAATAGTGCCAAACTTGTCTTCAACTTGTGGGGCTAGTTGTTGCCGTAAGCACCAAATAGGCCATTTGTTCTGCTCCATTTTTCAAGTGATATTTAAAATAAGAACGATTCTTGCCGACACAAACATGAATGAATAGCAACACAACACTTCTAGAATACTACTTCTGGTTTGTTTGCATTGGCCACAAAAACTAGATTACTCAAATACAATAAACGTTTGGTTTGTATTTTCTACTAAATATAAAAAGTTCAGACTACATAATTAGATTTATAGACGGTCAATAACAAATTCTTTTTGTAATACTTCAATTACACAATGCTGCTGACCTTTTCTTGGTAACCCGTGGTGTTTTCATCTAGCTCAAGAAACTTGTTCACCCACTCCAACCCATAAGAACCTTCGGCAGAGAAGTCAAAGAACTCATTCACATCAAAGTTCGCATCGGCGCAATCGTTTGATGCTTTATGGGAAGGTTTAGTAGCAGTAGCAGTAGCAGTCTTCGTCGTCGTGTCTTGGGCTGTTGAAGTCTGCGGTTTTTTCTCCTTCTGACTCATTTTTTTGCTCAAATGAGAATTCCAGTAATTCTTTATTTCATTGTCTGTTCGGCCTGGAAGTCTCCCGGCAATCAAGGACCACCTATACAATACCAACTTATGGTCAAAAACTTTCTCGTCTGACATGTTATGCTATTAGATTGTCAATATACATGTGATCGTTGTCTAATTATTCACTCAAATGTGCGGTCTAGATTGACATTCAGACAAGAAACTGTTGACAATGGTGACTAAATTAAATCAATTACCTGTTTCCTAGTAGTTTATGAAGTCTAATTATCAAGTCCTCTTCATCATCAGAAATGTTGCCTCTCTTAATATTGGGTCTCAAATAGTTCAACCATCTCAACCTGCAACTCTTCCCGCAACGATTCAAACCTGCAGGAGAAGTAACAACAAGAGATTAACCCTATTGTTTGGGCTCAAAATTAACGTGGATTAGTTAATTAACTAACCTGCTATTGAAGCAATTGTCTTCCACCTCTTTGCACCATGAATTTCAATATATTCTGCAAGTTTTCTATCTTCCTCCGCTGTCCATGCTCCTTTGTTCATAACCCTTTTTGCTGACCCATCGTTCTTTCGAGCCATGATGTACGTACGTAGGGGGGGAGGGAGGGAGAGAGAGAGAGAGAGAGAGAGAGAGAGAGAGAGAGAGAGAGAGGGAAATTTGGTGTTAGATGTATCAGATATTAGCAGGAGAGACTGATTGTTGGCTATCAACAACTTCTGGGGGTTTATATCCTGCTGGTTGGTACGGTTTTCTGAGAAGAAAATTGGAGGGTCAATGAGTACTCCATCAATCTAGCTACCCTTCCAAGAGAGAGAGAAGTTCCAAGTCCCAAAAACTCACAACTACCGGTTAGGAGTCAGAAGATTGTGTGAGTGAGGAGTTGAATATGAATCCTTTTATATTCATCTCTTTGTCCTTCGAGACACGTTTGTCATTATTTTTCACTTGTACAGTTGTCTGATATCATGAATATATATTGTTTGTTATCCTTCAATATCTAAAGAAAAGATGCTTTCCCTTAAAAGAAGGCAGATTGTCTACTCTCCTGTTTGGATGTCTTTTCTATCCCTTTCTATTTGTGCGGTTACAGTTAAGTTACGTTAATATTTTATATTTCTATTGCTTTTTGTCTTATTATCTCTATAAAAAAATTAATATATAATGTTGACGTGGTTTAACATTGACCGTATAAAATAGGAGGGGATGGAAAGGGCATCCAAATAGGAGGGCAGACAATCTGCCTCCCCTTTAAAAACCAGTCCATTTCAGTTTTCAGTGCCACCAAATTATATGTTATACAATACAACAGCAAAAATTCCCAAAATTGAAAATTTTCATGAGCCCTTTATCACCTTATAGTTTAGCGTTAATTTCTGTGTCAATATTATAAAACATTAGCCTAAAACATAAGGTAACAGATAGTACTCGATAAAAACTCTCACTTTGAGAGTCTCCTTAACATTTGTCATACAACAATTATATATATTGTCACATATCATGTATATACGGAGTGTAAGAATAATATATATTATCACATATCATGCATATATGGAGTGCAAAAATAATCTAACGCGGAGACGCCGATAAAAATAAAATTATAATTCACTTCATTAGTAAGCTTTTCCTCTATATCATAATTTCAATGTTCAACTAACAATAAAATTTAATTCAACAATAATCATGTATTTTATGAAAATAGTGACCCCTATTTATATTTTTTATTAGAAATTTAAAATCTATATAGAATATTAAAATAGTCTTTTTCTTTTTCTCTACTATATATATGGTGGAAATTAAATATTATTCTGCCTGTATATGTCATAGCACCTCTTGAAGACCTTGGGAAGAGAGACGCGGGGGTGGTGGTGGTGGTGGTGTGGGGCACATGGTCCCCTTCAATTGCTTAGGAGAGGATCCGGATCCCTTCAATTGTGCTTGAGGCTCTCTTTGCTAGTTGTATATTGTCTGTGATATTATATTTGATTGTCATGTGAATTTGTATACAAAACGGTCAGAAAACTTGAATGATATGTGAATTTGTGAACCACAGTATATTAAACTCTATACTCTTTTTCTACTATATAAACTTGTGGCAAGGTAGAGTGTTGTCTTGATACCAAGGCTGTAGAAGACGATAGGCATTAGTCAGGTGCTGAGCTAAGCCTCTAGGTGGCTAGGCGAGACCTAGGCGGATTTAAGTAAATTTATTGTATATCGTATAAATGAGTGCCTATTTATACTTTAAAAATACATAATTATATTGAGATACATAAATTGCATAGTAAAATGACATACAAATTAAGTATTATAACATATTGAAAATATGGAGAACAAGCATTTAATGAGTGTTCATCCAAATATTTAACAAGTCTCTTACAATTTACTAAACAAAAATAAAATATAAAATAAAAGTTATCAATTTTCTGTCTAAATGAGAGTTACAACCTAGGCAGGTGCCCAGGGCCCAGGCGGACACCTAGGTGGGTTAAGCAGATGCCTAGGGAGGTATAAGCACCCTTTCTATACGGAAACTTTTAGAATGGTGCTTGATACGCATGCAGGCCTTCGGACCTCCTTGTATTCAATCGTTCGTTTATAAGCCTCTTTGGGGTCAAAACGGAAAAAGAAAGTAACAATTTTGGAGTCCAAAGATCACAGATAATTGAAGGGGTTTCTAAATGCATGACCGTTACATGTTTCTACTAATTAATCGAATGATGGTGCTACTAATTAATCGAAGGTGTTAATTCGCAGGAAGTAGTCATTTCAACAGTCTTCCTTAGATATACGGGTGTTAACCATCTTGCCCCGACCATTCCGGTCTAATAATAAACTTAATTTGGGCCTTAGTCTGGGTTCATAGTTTCACTAAAAGGCCAAAACATTTTTTTCAACACAACATAGCAAAAATCCTCGATTCTTTTTTCCCTTTTCTATATGCCTTTTTCTCGTTTTCAACAAGAATTCTCCCCCGCAGTTTTTTCTTCACCCGAGTGAAGAGCGAAATTTAACTAATTGAGATTTAGTTAAATCTCAACCATTCACACGTGAAAAAAAATGTGCGGATAAGTAAAGCTCTTATACACCATCCTTTGTTCTATCCCCAAAGGTACATTCCGAAAGCTTTTTTCAATATACTATATACAGCAGACAATAACAAAACCATTACAACCTTCTTTGACGCCAACATCCTCAGATTCACCCTCAATCCATGTTTCCTCATTAGCTTCACCATTGCCACTCCCAACATCACAAGCCAAGAACCTACTGCCCCCAACACTGCCTTCATCGTATCCATCGGTCCAAAGACATTGCCCAAAACATCGCTCGACACTTCCACATATATAGGGTCTGCTTGGCTGCTCTCTGACTGGTTTAGTCCAAGACGCTCATTTATCCAACTGGAAAACTCAACAAGCAATCTTGCGAGCCAAGCAACCTCATTGTCGGAGATGGGGCGCTTCATCCAGTCACCCCTGTATTTGACACCATCCAAAGTGCGGTTGCTCACTCTCCTCGGCTTGAATATTTCATCACGGGGTTGCGGAGGCTGTTTTGGTTCAGGAGAAAATGACAGTACCTTTACAGTATGCCCACCAAATAGACAGCTCACCTGAGCTTTCAAAGAGTCTATGCACTGAAGGTTGTGCGCACCATTATCACCGGAAACAGCTAGCAACTCAGCTTCTGCACGTAATATGAACAACTGCAATCACAAAATTGCAAACATTGGATGAGATCTTGCCATGCAAACAGATGTTTAGTAAACATACACAAATAGAAAGAAAAAAACAATAATAATAATAACAATAAGTAATACCTGAAGCAACTGTTGCCCGCCATCTTCTCCATCACTGAACAATCGTAAATCTTTGTTCCAATTCTCATGCAAGAAAGACCCATCTGCATCACTCTCAGATAAGCCATCCTCCCAGTCCTGGGATACCAATAGATCACACAAAGAAAACCAGTCAAACACTGATTCAATCAGTTAGGCAATCAAAATTCGAATGCAAAATATTAGAGGAGAGAGAGGTAATCCTACCTGCAGCTGTTCGCGAATTGGAGTAACAAATCTATATAAGCTATTAAGCATCGATTTTCCTGATCCTGCTTGTTTGGAATGAAAAGCAGTATCCACCATCTTTAGTAGGTCCATCAGCTCTTTGGATGATGTCAATATAGTTAGGATCTATACAGAAATGAAGAATAATAAGAAACAAAACCAAAGCAAAAAAGTCTTCATATTTATTTCTGACAGATAAAAGATGAGTAATGCATAGGAAGTCGACCAAGGATATGTATGAATTATCATCACATTATTCTCAATTAAGTTCTAACATGTAGTACTAGTTTTCTGTAAAACCAAAATTTCCCTCTTAATGAAGTTTTAATATCCCAAACTTTGAAATAATAAACATTGTATGATCTTCAATTCTCAAGAATCACAAATCTATTTGTATCAGGAATGCATCTTGAAAGGTCAAAGCTCAATAAAACCTTAATAAAGACCTAGCCAAGTTGGAAAGTACGAAATTCCAATGAAAACGAACAATAGTTTAATATGAGTATTTTTAGATGATAATTTGCAAGTCATAATTTGATGGACCCCCATAAAAAACAGCATCATTATCACTGATCTACATTCAACTATAAAGAGTACAAAAAAAAATATCACCACCATTCAACTGACCTAATCAATCAGAAAAATGGGCACTACCAAACAGAAGACTTAAAGCTCAAAAAGTTAATCCTGGTACCCGTGGAAGTTACAGTCCAATGAAAAGCATCACATATTCATCCACCCCAGCGGTGGAAACATAATTCTGTTATGAATTTATAGTTATCAAGCTTTTCTTGCAACTAATAACAACCGTCATATCTAATGCAATCAGACAGTTTAAATTAAAAAAAATGAGCACATCAATAAGTCTCTGGAATCATCATCACCAGGAGAAGATACTAAATCTCACAAACGTACCAAATTTAGAAAAAGAAATGGTTAAGAATCTGACCTTCAATACCATCTGGACAATTATTTCGGGATCAGTATGAAGAAACTTGTGCGCAAACCCAATGAAATGCATAACCAAGGAACTGTAGTACAAGTAGCTGGCCAGCACATAACCCTGCCAAGAAGGTGTATAACCATGGTTTTGAGGCTGCAGGTTATCATTTCTCCCATTCTTAGTTGAACCGTCAACAACAGCATCAAGCTCTGAAAAGTCCAAAATGATATCCCAAGGTTCAATATAGGTAATCCAAACCGAAAACACATCTGATATATTTTTAATCAAAACCCCCCCTGGACAAAATAAGAATGTCCTCAATAAAAACCGGTACAGCGGCCTCTGTATCAGCAAGTTCCAAGATCCTGTACATGGCGAAACCGACATCACATCCCTCAACTTCAAGGCATCAAATGAACCCCTCTGCCTCGGACTGCCACAATGATCCACACTCTCATTACCATCTCTATGCACGACCAAACCCACATTCAAGTATTTGACAAACAACTTCACCACCTCTCCTAACCCGGGGGTTGGCGGGGTCTCACCCAAAACTGATCGGAATGGGAACGAGACCCCAAATGACTTACACAGATTAACAGGTAGTGGTGAAAAATCATTATCAACCAACCAAAAATTCACCAAAGCATTCACAAAAAACTCTGCCTGAGCTATAACCGAGGTATCATATCCCGAAGAGTAATGCAAAAGCGAACTTCGGTATGGAAGGTGTTGATTCAAATCAGTTGCACCAACAAAAGCACGAAGATATGCATATAAAAGCCTAATATACAAGTTGCATTCAATTTTAACCTCCGCCTCACGCCTAGTGCTCGAAAACCCTGAAATTGATGAAACCCAATTCTCAAATTTAAACCTTCTGTTTCTTTTTATCGAAACAACATCACAATGCTCACTATTTCCTCGACAAACGGGATAATAAGCGAACCAAAACGTGTAATATTCAAAGACATTGAGTTGAACTTGATAGAAATTAGGTTTAATTGAGTCTTCTTTAACCCTATTTTTTAAAATTGGGGATAAATCGGATAATACCCGGATATCATTTTCCGAGGTAAGCATGAATCGGACCCATTCCGGCAACCGTTCAATAGGGAACACGTATTTGACGAGGGAGAGGCGATCAACGGCGGAGATTGCGTTGAAGAGGAGGCTATTGGGCGCGAGGAGGGCGAACAGCCTGTTGGCTAAATCTATGTCGTTGGACGCGAGGACGGTGTCAATCCAGCCGTTGGGTGAGGCGGAGGGGGCGGAAGGCGAGGGTTGTTGCTGTGAAGCTGGTTGTGGCGGAGGCAGGGGTGATGACGCTGCATCGTCGAAGCCGAAGAGCTTGCAGATGAGGGTTGGGAAGGTGAGGGAGAAGAAGTGGCGGGATTGGTCGGGTGAGAGTGAATGCAGGAAAGACTCAATGGAGGCGCAGGTGGAGGAGATCTGGTGCGGGGCGGAGGAAGCGAGGATGGTGCAGGCGAGGTCTTGGGATTTGGAATGGGAATTGAGGGCGTAAGAGTGCGGGAGCATGGTAAGGATTGTAGGGGCCGATTGTAGAGAGCGAGAGCGTGATGCTTTGATTGGCTTGGCTTCCTTCAATGGCCGCTAGGGTTTTTGCAGGGTAAGAGAGAGAGGTTTTAAAAGTTTTCAAATGAGAGGAGAAGGTGTGGCGAGTTTTTATGGGGGAATGAAGGGAGGGGCCCGAGGGGGTACGTGGCGCTAAACTAAGAGTCTACGAGTGTGACGTGGACGTGGTTGCGGGGTCCACTTATATGCTTCAGTTTGGAAAGAAATCATCATGACTACCGCATCAATTGATCCAGACTTTTGAAATTTTATCTAACGGTTCATCTGTTTTGATTACATAAAAATTATAATAACTTTTTGTCAATGAATAAAATTTTAAAGATTCAAATCATTTAATTCGATGAATTAGTGAAAGAAATCTAGATAATATATCTTTTTCCTCGTTTCGTTACGAAAGGTTTTTTATTTTTTATTTTTATGGAAAGAAAATTTGTTTGGATGCGAAGGGGCGGGAAGGCTGTATTGATGTGGACGTGAGATGCCAATCGTTGGATGTTCCCAAATTTCAAATTTTTTTTTTTTCTCTTTTATCTTTTGTTCTAGAGGAGTCTAATTTGAAGTCTTCAATGCAGGTCGGCATTCATGCCGAACTCATTGTAGCCGTCAGATATCATCCAAGGGTTGAGAATTCTAATCGGTTGACCGGTTGTAGACTGCCTTTTTCTTTCTGTTTTGGTAAAATGGGGGTGAATATCCCAAAAATACTACACCCTATCTTAAAAATATAAATTAGGCTGGTCCTAGCAACCCCAAAACTATTATTAGATGAAAAATAACCAATTTAAAAAGTAAAACTAACAAAAAGTTTAAAAAAAAACTTTAATTTTAATGAAAAAAAATAAATAAATGTGTAGTGAATAGTACTAGAGAAAGATAAAAATGTGGTATTTCGTTAAAATTGAACAGTACCAAGAGTTTTCGTTAAAACTCCCATTTAAAAATGAGGTTTTTCAAGAAAATAAAACTCAGGCATATTTGTCACATCCCCGTCCGGGGGGGGACCACTTCCCGGGCCCACTCCACCACCATAGCATGATATTGTCTGCTTTGGGCCCCGACCACGCCCTCACGGTTTTGTTTCTGGAAACTCACACAAGAACTTCCCGATGGGTCACCCATCCTGAGAATGCTCTCACGCGCTACTCGCTTAACTTCAGAGTTCCCATGGAACCCGAAGCCAATGAGTTCCCAAAATGTCTCGTGCTTGGTAGGGATGGGAATATACATATAAGAGCAGTTCCAGCCCAAGGCAAATGGACCGGCACCAAGTGAAGAAAATGGACCGGGACTCTGTCCATCACCTCCAGCCCGCAAAACAAGCTGGCACCCAGCCCAAGCCAGGCAACAGCCCAGCCTATTTCGGACAGACCCAGAAACCGGTCCATTTCCCTGGCTCGTGCACAACATGCACGAGTAGGCGCGAGTAGCCGACAGGCCTTACAGGCGGTGGGGCCCGCGTGCAGGGTAACTTGCGTTCGACCGGCTGAGGGCTACGTGGCCCTCCTCAGAGTCGTTGGATTTCCAACGGCTAGTTTTTGTAGGCCGTTGGATTTCCAACGGTAAAAAAAATTTAAATTTGACTTTTAAATTAGACCGTCAGATCACAGATCAACGGTCCACGTTTTTTTCACCAAAAATAAAAAAAAATAAAAAAAAGGTCCAACGGTCAGAAATTTGACCATTGGCCACGTGGCAGCTAGTTGGCTGTTGGATTTGATTATTTTTCAAATCCAACGGTCCAGATTAATTACAACATTAAAATTAATTAAAAATTGTGAATTTTTTTTAAAAAATACAGAAAAATTTTAAAAAATTATTTTTTTTTTTCTATAAATACCTAACCCTCATCTTCCACCTTACACCACATTTCAATATTTTCTACACTTTCTACACTTTCTACATTTGAATATTTTGTACACTTTGAGAGAAAAAAATGACTTCGTGGAAGCTCAGTGAAGATGTTACGTTGTGTGAATGTTGGGTTCGCACTACTCATGACCCGATTACGGGTAATGAGATGGATAAGCGAGAAATGTGGAGTAAAATTACGAAATCGTTTTGCGATGTACATGGAAAAGATGCCAGATCTAGTCAAGATCTTCAAGGTCGTTGGAAAAAACTCAACGCATCCTTTACTTGTTGGAAAAACGCCCTGTCTCATGCTTCTGGTAATCTACGTGGTGGGACAAGTTTAGCGGATGAGGTAACAATATTTTTATTTATTTATATGCATTCCACCCACATCAATATTTTAATTTATTTAATTTCTTATGTAATTTTTATGTAATATGCATTCCACGCCCATCAATATTTTAATTTATTTAATTTCTTTTATGTAATTTCTATGTAATTTCTTATGTAATTTATATGCATTCCACGTCCATCAATATTTTAATTTATTTATTTGTGTTACACCCGTATTTTTTAATACTATCTTATCCCACATTTTTATTCAACAATGCAAAGAACCATAACAAATCATTCAACAAATGGGAATGTTGGCAAATTGTCAAAGATTGCCCTAGATACAAAATTGTGGCAACCGGTCCAGAAGTTGTCATGCACGGTATGGGTCTACACAATTCGCCAGAAGCAGATACAGTCGAACAAGAAGACAACACATTTGAAGACACGGAAGGGACGCCTGAACAAGTGCCAGAGACCCAACCGACTCGTCAGTCCCTCAAGCCTCAAGGTAAAAAAGCATCAAAGAAAAAAGGTAGTTCTTCCAAAAATGACTACACTAAATATATGCAGGAACTTACTCGTCAAGGTGAACTGAACATGGCATGGGAAAAGGCTAGACATGAGGAAAAAGCTACTGCTATGGCAGCAATAATAGCAGCTACTGAGGCTCGTGATGCGGCGGCTGAGAGACAAAGAGAAATTGTTAATCGAAAGAACGAGATGATTAGAGAATCACTTCATCGAGAGAATGAGATGCTTAGAGAAGAAAGAATGGCTCAAACAGATCGTGACACTATGAACAAGTCTCTAGTAGGACTGTCTCCGAATTCAAAATATTTTTGGACATCAGAAAAAAGAGATGTCGTGCGAAGGTGGCGTGCAAGAGATGCCGAAACAAGTCAAGGGGGTTCCAGCTACAGAAATCCTAGCAACCAAGATCCTAGCACCACATATCCTAACAATATACTTTATTCTTCAACCACAAGCCTTATTTTAATTATCTTCGCCTTCGTGCAATCTCCACTGATGGTCAATCAAGTCATTCTGGCGGGTTATGTGCCAGTATGGCTCTTGCAATGAAGTGTACCGTTGAACGATCAATTCATTGTAACGTCCATCCCGTTCCAACGGCTCGTGTTGCACGGGATCTTCGGTTCGGTCATGAGCATAGTAGATTTGTGTTCTTGAGTTATTCATCGGATCCGGCTCGTATTCGTCGACGGCATCATAATCATACTCGTCTTCAACGATCATGTTGTGGAGAATAATACACGCATCATGATGGATCGAAGAGCCTCGACATCAAACATTCTAGCTGCAGCCCTGACAATGGCCCAACGAGCTTGCAGGATACCAAAACAACGCTCAACATCCTTCCTACACCCTTCTTGACACTTTGCGAAGTGTTTCTCTTTTTCACTCTGCGGATGTGGCACTGTTTTGACAAATGTTGACCACCTTGGGTAAATACCATCTGCAAGGTAGTATGGTCTCTCGTATTTATTACCATTAACCCAATATGTGCATCTAGGCCCATTTCCTTGTAGCAGTTCGTCAAACACTGGAGATTGGGCAAGGACATTTAGGTCATTCTGAGCTCCTAGAACACCAAAAAAAGCATGCCAAATCCATGTATCAAAAGAAGCCACCGCTTCCAAAATGATGATTTGGGCTCCTTTTCTGTCGCCATAAGCTCCTTGCCACGCACTTGGACAGTTTTTCCACGTCTAGTGCATGCAGTCGATGCTTCCAATCATGCCAGGGAAGCCTCGCATCTCACCCTTCCTCAGAAGCCTTCTCATGTCCCTTGGCGTGGGTTGCCGAAGGTACTCATTGGTGTAGAGGGCTTCAATTGCAGAGCAAAACCGCATCAAGGACTCCAGAACTGTTGTTTTTCCCATCCTTGCGATCTCATCCACTTGATCTGCAAATGCTCCATATGCAAGCATTCGCAAGGCAGCCGTAATTTTTTGCTCAGGAAAAAGACCTAGAACATGAAAAGCATCATCTTTTTGCACAAAATATGGATCATGGTTGCAAACATCACTCATGATTTTATCGAACAAACTTCGTTGCATTCTAAAACGATGTCTAAAAACATGATCAGGGAAAACGCTGTTGGGAATAAAATAATCTTCCAATAGATCTTTACCTCGTCTTTCCCTTCTTCTATCGATGTTTGCCGCACGTCTGGGTTGGGCTATCTGACCCATAGCTTCCATGATACGGCGGGAATGTGAGGCCCTCCGCCTTCTATGGTGATCATCCTCATCCTCCTCCATTGCGAATGCCTCATCTCCACCTCCACCTTGGTCAAGATTGACCAATTCTTCCTGTTGTGCCAACAACCTTTTCTGCTGCTCTTGCAATTGTTTATACGCTCTCCTTGAAGAAGACATTGTAAGAACTCAAGATTTGAAAACGATAAAGAAGAATTCTGGGCTAAAAAAAAGGATTGAGTTTAGTGTGAGGATGGATGTAAGGATGTAGGGTTTATATAGACAAAAGAAAAAGAAGATGAGGTTCTGGACAATGTCACGTGGCACTACGTGATTGGTTGAAATTCTTATCGAAATCTTGCCTAAATTATTGTAAATAGGAAGTGACACGTGGCGTGTCGGGATTGGTTGAAAATCTTATCAGAAATCTATCTACAAAATAGTACGTTCGGATAATGACACGTGGCGTGACAAGATTGGTTAAAAATCTTATCGAAATCTTGCCTAAATTATTGTAAATAGGAAGTGACACGTGGGTTGTCGGGATTAATTGAAAATCTTAGCGGAAATCTATTCAAAAAATAGTACGTTCGGATAATGACACGTGGCGTGACGAGATTGGTTAAAAATCCTATCCGAAATTAAAACTTTTTT